CACTCCCTCCATTTTTCTAATGTAAAGCATAGCTAAAAGAAATGATGTATAGATTTAAGCTGCAAGTAACGCAAGTATGGACCCAGAGATTTAAATTAAAATGGCTAACTCTTACACGTTAAAAGATCATTTATTTTACGTGAGAGGCAGTAGACTCTCTCTCTCTCACACACACTCACTCATTCACTCATTTGCTCGCTCACTCACACTCACTCACTCACTCACTCACTCACTCACTCACTCACTCACTCACTCACTCACTCACTCACACACACACACACACACACACACACACACACACACACACACACACACACACACACACACACACACACACACACACACACTCACACACTCACACACTCACTCACTCACTCACTCACTCACACACAGTCAGCAGACAGACAAACACAAAACCTGAGAGCGAGAGACAGCTTCGGTCCGCGGAGTAAAACTGTCTCTAATTTTTAAAAGCCGTATACCTTATGACAACCTATCAATTATACATCAAATACTATGATATATTCTGCTACACCCTTAATTATCAACGGTTTGACCCTCACGGTAATTAATAGAGATCATTACTCATTGCCAGTATTTAGTTCATTTATTTGTTTTTAAGATCATTAGTAATGAAGTTTCTATATATCATACCCGAAGGTTAGGTATATAAAAAGAGAAATATATGGATATACTTATATATTATGTTAATCGTCTCATGAATAGAAAAACGATATTTTTCGTATCAGCGCCGAATGCAATTGAATATTTTCTCACGAAAGAAAATCACGTACGGTTTTTAGACCAACTCGAATGAGATGAAACTCACCAAGGACACTTATGAATAAATATATTTATATAAATATATAAATATACTTATGATAAAATGTTGTGAACTTGTATATATGTATGTATGTGTATATCTCACTCACTTTCTCTCTCTCTCTCTCTCTCATCCTTCATTCCCAAAAAGGTCCCAGCAACGATGTACCAGTTATGTGTGGGAGGTACGAGCTAAGCCCAGGCCAGTCGCTCGCCGTAGCCACGCCTTACTACCCAAACGACTATCCGAACAGATTCAGTTGTACGTGGACCTTCAGGGTGGGTTTCTCTTTGTTAATGCATTATTCCATCTTTCTTTGAATTCACCTCAGGATATCTGATTTGGGATTTGAACTGCTCTTTCTATATATACCGAGCGCCCACGGGGTGTGTGTAAAACTTCGTTATCCTTACTCATGCACGAGTAGATTGGTATTGTCTATGGCTGCTGGGTAGCTCCTAGTTGCACACTCCTTTTAAGTGGGTTGTGCATCAGTGGTTAGAGTGACGGCGGTGGGGGTTCGAATCTCTATCGGAGAGGTTATATATTCAGAGAGAATTTAGTTCAGCCACGAGCTAAATACTCCGAAAAAAAACATTAGACCGTACCTTCAAAGACAACTAGAGAAGGAGACGGCTGCCTGGCACGAAGCGGAGGTTAACTCGCTAAACACCGGAAATCAAGAAAATTTCGCACAAAAATCTAAACACAGCTGAGAGGAGACGATCTCATAATTCATGAGCACAACATCCCAGTACTCAGGGTGATCTTAGTGACGTATTTGGTTTGCTATCTAATTGCACTGCAACTCTTGGCTATTCTTTATATTCACCTGATTTAGCAAAATGTTCTTTTTACCCTCAAAAAATCAAATCAGTACTTAAGGACAACCATTTTGGGTCGGTTACTGCGGATAAAAAGATAAAGAATACAGAATGGGAAAATGAACAGCTGAAAAAAATGTAAATTGGGAAAACAAAATGAAAACGAATTAAACGTTCTTTTGCCATAACAACCGAAATTACGATACTACAAATGAGAAGTTGTTTTTTTCTCCAAATGAAAAGTTTTTTTTTTTTTTTTTTTTTTTTTTTTTTCTCCAAGATGACAATTGAATCAACAACACTAGTCCCCTTCATTCACAAATAGCCTCGTATTACCACAATGCTATCCCTATTTTCTCTATATATTTCGTGACTGAACTCTCCAGCCTGAATCACATGTACATCTAACAATCGTTATTACCCATTTTGCACTTAACACGTAGCACCGCCTCTGCCAGGGAGCTCACCGGACTGCCGCACCAACAACAACTTAATCCGAGCAAATTGTATTTTTTTATTTTTTTTTATTTATTTTTTTTTTTTTTTTGTAAATAAACATATAAATATATTAATAAATGGCACCATTCCGAGTGACATCCGCTCTTCCAGACATCGACTGACAGTGAGATCGCCTTCTCCTGCAGTGACTTCGTGCTGGACAGAGCAGGCAAGGACTTCCTTGCAGTGACACGCGTCTCGGGACAAACTCCCAAAAGGTGATGATTGATAATGATGATTGTGATGATGATGTGATTGTGATGATGACTAATTGTGATTGTGATGACTGATGGTGATTGTGATGATGACTGATGGTGAGTTGATGACTGATGATTGTGATGACTGATGGTGATTGTGATGATGACTAATTGTGATTGTGATGACTGATGGTGATTGTGATGATGATTGTGATGATGATGACTAATTGTGATTGTGTGACTGATTGTGATGATGATTGTGATGTGATGACTGATGGTGATTGTGATGATGAATTGTGATGATGTGATGATGACTAATTGTGATTGTGATGACTGATGACTGATGATGATGGTGATTGTGATGACATGGTGGTGATTGTGAAAAAAAAATAATATATAAGAAAACCAACAATATCAGTTAGTTATCGCTCTTATACTTATATCTTTTACAAATTCACATATTCTACCCCCCCCCAAAAAAAAAAAAAAAAAAAAGATAACCTATCAATTATTTATCACTATTTTTTATTTACAATTTACTAATCCACATATTCTATTCTTCCCCCTCAATATATATATATATATATATATATATATATATATATATATATATATGCACATATAAGAAAACCAAGATTATTTATAATTTATTCATCGCACTTCTTCATCTACCCTTTAATAATTCACACATTCTATAATTTATGGTATTTATCGCACTTAATCTACCTTTAATAATTAACTAATTTACTAATTAACATATTCTATCCCCCCCCCCCCAAAAAAAAAAGAAAAAGAAAAATATACACATCAAAGAAAATGGTATTTAACGCTCTTTATCAACCTTTTACTAATTACCTAATTTCCTAATTAACATTCTATTCTCCCCTTAAAAAAAAATCAAAGAAAATTAAGATCATTTATGTAACTTATCGCACTTTATCTACCTTTTACTAATTAACTAATTAACATATTCTATCTCCCTTAAAAAAATATCAAAGAAAATTAAGATCATTTATGTAACTTATCGCACTTTATCTACCTTTTACTAATTAACTAATTAACATATTCTATTCTCCCCTTAAAAAAAAATCAAAGAAAATTAAGATCATTTATGTAACCTATCGCACTTTATCTACCTTTTACTAATTACCTAATTTACTAATTTACACACATAATCTACCTTTTCCTAATTAACTAATTGACATATTCTATTCTGCCCCCCCCCTAAAAAAAAAAAAAAGATATAAGAAGACCAACAGACCTCGAGTGACGACGTCTGGTGGGGTGCTCATCCTTACCTTCAGGTCAAACAAGAGGATAACAGCCAAGGGATTCAACTGCCTCGTTACCGACCTTGGTAAGGTTGATGAGGAGGAGGGAGGGGGGGAGGAAGAGGAGGAGGGGAGGAGGGTAGGAGGGGAGGGGGTTGGAGAGGGGAGGGTCAAACAAGAGGATCAACTGCCTCGTTTCCGACCTTGGTAGGTTGATGGGAGGAGGGGAAGGATGGAGGGATGGAGGAAGAGGAGGAGGGGAGGAGGGTAGGAGGGGAGGGGGGTTGGAGAGGGGAGGGTCAAACAAGAGGATCAACTGCCTCGTTACCGACCTTGGTAGATTGATGAGGGAGGAGGGGAAGGGGGGATGGGGAGAGGAGGGATGAGGGATGGAGGAAGAGGAGGGTAGGAGGGTAGGAGGGGAGGAGGGGGAGGGGAGGGGGGTTGGAGAGGGGAGGGTCAAACAAGAGGATCAACTGCCTCGTTTCCGACCTTGGTGGGTTGATGAGGGAGGAGGGGAGGGATGGAGGGATGGAGGAAGAGGAGGAGGGGAGAGGGAGGGGAGGGGGGTGGAGAGGGGAGGGTTAAACAAGAGGATCAACTGCCTCGTTTCCGACCTTGGTAGGTTGATGAGGGAGGAGGGGAGGGATGGAGGAAGGAGGAGGGGAGGAGGAGGGGGAGGGGGGTTGGAGAGGGGAGGTCAAACAAGAGGATCAACTGCCTCGTTTCGACCTTGGTAGGTTATGATGGAGGAGGAGGAGGGAGGGGAGAGAGGAGGAGGTAGGAGGAGGGGGAGGGGGTTGGAGAGGGGAGGGTCAAACAAGAGGATCAACTGCCTCGTTTCCGACCTTGTAGGTGATGAGGGAGAGGAGGGATGGAGGGATGGAGGAAGGGAGGGGGAGAGGAGGAGGAGGGGGGAGGGGGTTGGAGAGGGAGGGTCAAACAAGAGGATCAACTGCCTCGTTTCCGATGATTGAGGAGGAGGGGAGGAGGGGGATGGAGGAAGGAGGAGGAGGAGGGGGAGGGAGGGGAGGGTCAAACAAGAGGATCAACTGCTCGTTTCCGACCTTGGTAGGTTGATGGGGAGGAGGGGAGGGATGGGAAGGAGGAGGGTAGGAGGGAGGGGGGAGGGGGTTGGAGAGGGGAGGGTCAAACAAGAGGATCTGCCTCGTTTCCGACCTTGGTAGTTGATGAGGGAGGAGGGAGAGGGGAGGATGGGAGAAGAGGAGAGGAGAGGGGGAGGAGGGGAGGGGGGAGGGGGGTTGGAGAGGGGGGTCAAACAGAGGATCAACTGCCTCGTTTCCGACCTTGGTAGGTTGATGAGGGAGGAGGGGAGGGGGGGGATGAGGAAGAGGAGGAGGGAGGAGGGAGGGAGGGGAGGGGTTGAGGGGAGGGTCAAACAAGAGATCAACTGCCTCGTTTCCGACCTTGGTAGGTTGATGAGGGAGGAGGGGAGGGATGGAGGAAGAGGAGGAGGGAGGAGGGAGGGGGAGGGGTTGGAGAGGGGAGGGTCAAACAAGAGGATCAACTGCCTCGTTTCCGACCTTGGTAGGTTGATGAGGGAGGAGGGGAGAGGAGGAGGGTGGAGGAGAGGAGGAGGGAGGGGAGGGGGAGGGAGGGGGAGGGAGGGGGGTTGGAGAGGGAGGGTCAAACAAGAGGATCAACTGCCTCGTTTCCGACCTTGGTAGGTTGATGAGGAGGGGGAGGAGGGAGGATGGAGGGATGGAGGGAGAGGAGAGGGGGAGGAAGGGAGGAGGGGAGGAGGAGGGAGGGGGGGAGGGAGGGGGTTGGAGAGGGAGGGTCAAACAAGAGGATCAACTGCCTCGTTACCGACCTTTAGGTTGTGAGGGAGGAGGGAGGATGGAGGGAGGAGGGGAGGGAGGGATGGAGGGAGGAGGGGGGAGGAGGAGGAGGGAGGGGGGTTGGAGAGGGGAGGGTCAAACAAGAGGATCAACTGCCTCGTTTCGACCTGGTGTTGTGAGGGAGGAGGGAGGAGGGAGGAGGATGGAGGAGGAGGAGAGGGAGGAGGGGGAGGGAGGAGAGGGGAGGGGGTTGGAGAGGGGAGGTCAAACAAGAGGATCAACTGCCTCGTTTCCGACCTTGGTAGGTTGATGAGGGAGGAGGAGGGATGGAGGGATGGAGGAAGAGGAGGAGGGGGAGGAGGGAGGAGGGGGGAGGGGGATGAGGGAGGAGGGAGGGATGGAGGAAGAGGAGGAGGGGAGGGAGGGGGGAGAGGGGAGGGATGGAGGAAGGGAGGAGGGAGGAGGGGAGGGGGGAGAGGGGAGGGTTGGAGGGGGTTGGAGGGGAGGGTCAAACAAGGGATCAACTGCCTCGTTTCCGACCTTGGTAGGTTGATGAGGGAGGAGGGGAGAGGAGGAGGAAAGGAGGAGGAGGGAGGAGGAGAGGGGGTTGAGAGGGGAGGGTCAAACAAGAGGATCAACTGCCTCGTTTCCGACCTTGGTAGGTTGATGAGGAGGAGGGAGGGATGGAGGGATGGGAGGAGAGGAGGGAGGAGGGAGAGGGGAGGAGGGGGGGGGGGGTTGGAGAGGGAGGGTCAAACAAGGGGATCAACTGCCTCGTTTCCGACCTTGGTAGGTTGATGAGGGAGGAGGGGAGGGATGGAGGAAGAGGAGGAGGAGGGGAGGGGGGAGGAGGGGAGGGGGGTTGGAGAGGAGGGTCAAACAAGAGGATCAACTGCCTCGTTTCCGACCTTGGTAGGTTGATGAGGGAGGAGGGAGGATGGAGGGGAGGAGGGGAGGGAGGAGGAGGAGGAGGAGGAGGAGGGGGGGGGGGTTGGAGAGGGGAGGGTCAACAAGAGGATCAACTGCCTCGTTTCCGACCTTGGTAGGTTGATGAGGGAGGAGAGGGATGGAGGAAGAGGAGGAGGGGAGGGATGGAGGGAGGAGAAGAGGAGGAGGGAGGAGGGGAGGGGGGAGGAGGGGAGGGGGTTGGAGAGGGAGGGTCAAACAAGAGGATCAACTGCCTCGTTTCCGACCTTGGTAGGTTGATGAGGGAGGGAGGAGGGGAGGAGGGGAGGGATGGAGGGATGGAGGAAGAGGAGGAGGAGGAGGGGGGGGGAGGGGAGGGGGTTGGGAGGGGAGGTCAAACAAGAGGATCAACTGCCTCGTTTCCGACCTTGGTAGGTTGATGATGAGGGAGGAGGGGAGGGATGGAGGGAGGAGGAAGAGGAGGAGGGAGGAGGAGGAGGGAGGGGGTTGGAGAGGGAGGGTCAAACAAGAGGATCAACTGCCTCGTTTCCGACCTTGGTAGGTTGATGAGGGAGGAGGGGGGATGGAGGAAGGAGGAGGGAGGAGGGAGGAGGAGGGGAGGGGGAGGAGGAGGAGGAGGAGGGAGGAGGGGAGGGGGTTGGAGAGGGAGGGTCAAACAAGAGGATCAACTGCCTCGTTTCCGACCTTGGTAGGTTGATGAGGGAGGAGGGGAGGGATGGAGGAAGAGGAGGAGGGGAGGAGGGGAGGAGGGAGGAGGGGAGGGGGTTGGAGAGGGGAGGGTCAAACAAGAGGATCAACTGCCTCGTTTCCGACCTTGGTAGGTTGATGAGGGAGGAGGGAGGGATGGAGGAGGAGGGAGGGGAGGGGGGGAGGGGAGGGGGTTGGAGGGGAGGGTCAAACAAGAGGATCAACTGCCTCGTTTCCGACCTTGGTAGGTTGATGGGAGGAGGGAGGGATGGAGGAGGAGGAGGGGAGGAGGGGAGGAGGAGGGAGGGGGTTGGAGAGGGGAGGGTCAAACAAGAGGATCAACTGCCTCGTTTCCGACCTTGGTAGGTTGATGAGGGAGGAGGAGGATGGAGGAAGAGGAGGAGGAGGGGAGGAGGGGGAGGGAGGGGGGGAGGGGAGGAGGATCAACTGCCTCGTTTCCGACCTTGGTAG